TGAGGTCCTGTGGGGTTCTTACGGGGCTGGAGGGATATGGAGTCCTATGGGGTCCTTATAGGGCTGGAGGGATATGGGCTCCTGTGGGGTCATTATAAGGCTGGAGGGATATGGGGTCCCATGGGGTCTTTATAGGGCTGGGGGATATGGGGCCGTATGAGGTCCTATGGGGACCTTATAGGGCTGGAGCGATATGGGGTCCTCTGGGGTTCTTATAGGGCTGGAGCAATATCTGTGGGGTCCTTATAGGGCTGGGGCAATATGGGATCCTGTGGGGTCCTTATAGGGCTGGGAGGATATGGAGTCCTATGGGGTCCTTATAGGGCTGGGGCAATATGGGGTCCTGTGGGGTCCTTTTAGGGCTGGGAGGATAAAGGGGTCCTGTGGGGTCCTTATAGGGCTGGGGCAATATGGCATCCTGTGGGGTTCTTATAGGGCTGGAGCAATAGGGGGTCCTGTGGGGTCCTTATAGGGCTGAGGGGATAATGGGACCGCTCAGTGTTTAGTATAGGGGATATGGGGTCCCTACGGGAGCCTATGGGACCCCCCTCACCCCATTGTCTTCCCCACCCCCCCCAGGTCCTTCCCTAGCAATTACTGGGACAAGTTCGTCAAGAGAAAGGTGATGGAGAGCTGCTGCCCCAACCTGGCCCTATAGGACCGTGGGGTTCTTTACCCCACAGCCCTCACCCCACAAATCCCCCCCACACCCCATCCTACGTGTTTCCCCCTGAAGGTGTTGGAGAAATATGGGGACATTTATGGCCGTGAGCGCATCGCGGAGCTGCTGGGGATGGAGCTCTCCAGCCTCGAAATCGGGGCACGGGGGGAGAGGAAGCCCCCCCCCGACAACTCCGTGCTCACCTGGTGGGTCTGCGTGGCCAGGGGGTGCGGCCCCATAACGGCCCGGGGACCCCACAACTCACCTTGTGCCCCCTATAGGATCACCTCCATCGATATCCGCTATCAGATCTGGAAGTTTGGGGTCATCTTCACTGATAACGTGAGTGGGGGGGGGGACACGACCCCAAAACTCTGCTGACCCCACATCCCTGCTGACCCCATTGACCTCACATCTCCGCTGCCCCTATTGACACCACTGACCCCTCTGACCCCACATAACCACTGTCCCCATTGACCCCACTGTCCCCAGTCCCCACAGACCCCACATCCCCACTGACCCCACAGGCCTATTGACCCCAAATCCCCCCTGTCCCCCTTGACCCCACTGTCCCACATCTCCACTGACCCCACCATCCCCACTGACCCCACCATCCCCACTGTCCCCATTGACCCCACATCTCCACTGTCCCCACTGACCCCACTGACCCC